TGCCGAGGGTTGCGATCCCGTTGCCGGTCCCGGTCCGGTACGGGCGCGACACTGAGGGTTGCGATCCGTTGCCAGACATGAAAAAAGACAAAAAGGAAAAAAAAAAACCGATCAAGAGAAGACATATATGGGCACAAAAAAAAGGTACCCAGATAATCATTACTGAACAAAAAGATAAATCTAAGGAAGAGTTGGTTTTTTTTCCTCCTGGAACATAAGTATAAATTTAGAAAAGGATTTTCAATGATCTGAAGACTGTTAGGGGTTAAATTTCAAGACAAATAGCATGAAAAATAATCAAATCCCTTCTCAGAATTGGAAGTTCCACATGATCTTAAGGACCAACATATCACATTCTGAAAAACAATATAAAGTTATTTGGAGTACAAACTTGAAAACAAAAGAGAAATCTCTAAAAAGAAAGGTTACCCACTGAGGAAGCTATCATATTTACTTTAAAGCAGCTAAAGCTTCTTTTTCCCAGGTATATAGGCAACCTTCCACACCATTAAATACTCCCTCCTTTTTGAAACACTTTCTTCACTTGGCTTCCAGCATACGTCTTCTAATTTTTCTTCTAGCTCACTGGTGGGTCCTTCTCAATCTTTTGCTGGTCCTTCCTCTTCTCCACTTCTTAATGTTGGGATACCCCAGGGCTCAGTCCTTTGCCATCTTCTCTTCTCTAGTTGCATTAGGTGATCTCATCCAATGTCATGGTTATTCCCTGATGACTCCCAAATTAATTTTTCCAGTCCCAAATTGTTCTCAGAAGTCCAGACTTGGATATCCAATTGCCTACACAGCATCTCAAACCTAACATGACCAAAACAGAACTCGATTCCACACTCCTCCAAACCTGTTTCTCCTCCTGTATGCTTCATCTGTGCATCTCAGATTTCATGCAGCTGTTCAGGTCAAAATCTAAAAGTCATCCTTTAGTCCTCTCTTTCCTCTTCCTCATATCCAAGCTATCAGCAGATCCTACCTTCACTACCCTCAAAATAGAACCTGAATCCAGCATCTAACCACCTCCCATCATCTGTCTCACTAGTCCAAGACTCTTACCTGGAACACTGTAGTAACCTAACTAGTCTCTCTGCTTTTCCCCTTAATCCTTTTCAGTCTAACTTTCACACTGCAGCTCCATATTTCATACAGGAAATGAAATTGTGTCGCTCCTCTTCTTGATCTCTCTTATAGCTTCCTATTTACATGGCCATGCCAGGCTACAAAGACATTCATGAAAGTCTCTGACTTTCTACCCTATTTCATTTCTTACCATTTTCCCCCCTTAATCACTATGTTTTAACTTCACTGGCCTCTCTGCTATTCCTCAAACATGCCAAGTAAGTCAACATTTTAAGGCCTTTTCGCTTGCCTTTACCTATACTCATATGCTCTTCCCCCAAATATTCACATGGGTCACATGCTTACTTCATTAGGGCCTTTGCAGATGTCACTTCCTCAGCCAGGCCTTCCCTAACCACCTTATCTATAGTAGCAACCCTCTCCACATTCTGTCCCTATTCCCTGCTTTTTCTTCAGAGCACTCAATATTATATATTTGCTTATATTGTTATTGTCTGCTTTCTCCATTGGAATGTAAACTCCATAAAAGCAGGTGCTTTGTCTTGGTCACAGCTGTATAACCAGCACACAGAATACCCAGCATACAGTAAGAAACTCAATAAATATTTATTAAATCAATCAATAAAGGAATGGATAAATGAGACTTCTAGTCTGAACACTATCCAATAATATAGTTTAGGGTTTTGTTTTCACAGGAAAAAAAGAACCACAAGAATGTGCCCTAAAAGACAAAAATAAATTCAGCTTGATTTCTCTCAAATATGAATTTTATTATAAGGGGGAGAGTTATTAAGTAGCTCTGAAGCAAACTTTTATAGCAAATTTTCAGCAAGTTATTCTAGCTTTACGAAATTTTTAAAAAGCTTCAGAATTACCTCTGAAACTAAAGTTGCAGTTAGTTTAATAAGGCCTGAACACTTAAAAGTGTATATATATGTATATACATACACACATACAAACAATATAGAGCAGTTTCATGAAATCAAACTGGTATAGACGAGAATGTCTTCATTAACCCCAAATCCTCTTCCCTTTCTTCCCTCATCAAATTGCTACCAGTGAAGGCCCAGGAAGTCACCAACTACTTAGGGCTAATAGTCGTACATGTTGTACCCTCTTAACTTGGTGCTTGTGTTGCTGTTCACAGTAAGGAAAATGGCAATATTCCCAGAGGTTTCACAGAGGCAACAGAGTATTTTGCATGTATATGTCTATGGATTAACCGCCACTGTATATTACCTGCTCTCTTCAATCAATGCAGCTCATAGTACACAAAAATGTGAAAAATCCTATCACAATACAGATGTGCCTCTTTATGTATAATTTGGTGAACGGCAGAGCCTGATGATGAAAAGGTCATTTCTCACTAGTAGACTAAAGAATCTAAACTCTGAAAAATAAGTTAGCCACTCCGAGGCTCTCCTGAGCCATGGATAGAAGGCCAGAGTACTCCTTAAGGATGGCAGTCTGTTAATGAAACAAATATGGAAACTTAAGTTGAGCCATGTGGCCTCTCTAGCAACAAGGAAGGAATTTAGTCCGATATGCTCAGTGTGTTTATGTCAACATTTGTGTAATGTTGATTGTTGTGGCTTATGCTCTCTGATCAGGGGACAGAAGAACGATGAATACTACTTCTTATGAAAAGTTTCAAGCCTTGTAACCCCTCTGAAAATAAATAGTCCAAATACCAGTTCCATTTCTTTCCCTGCAGGCACAGAAAAAGGAAAATTACTTATCAAATATTTTACTACACTCATTCTCTACTTCCTCTTCTTCTCCTAGGAAGAGTTCACAACATTCTGGAAGATGTCCACACAGCAAGAGTTAGTTCAGAGGCGCCAGGTTCATAATTGGAGCTCAGTCACTAAGTAACTTTAAAACTGGAAAGTACCCGAAATCCAAGGGCTAAACATCCCATTTATCATATTGGTAAAAAAAACTTATCTATTCATCTGAACAAAGTATTGTGAGATGGAAATGTGTCATCATTCCCATACTCTAGGATTTTAACATCTAAAATAGATAACAAAGAAGCAGACATTATTATAATACTGCCTATATTAAATATGTACACAGCAGGTGTTTCTAAAATAATGAGACAATTGTATACAGTTCTGTTAAGTCAGTCTCATTATAGTCACAATTTGTATGCATGCAACTGTACCATAAAATGAAACAATGTATGGTCACAACAGCAGGAGTCAGACTATGAAGAGTTATATCCTAGAGAGGACTGAGAGAGTAGTGCCAATAAATTCACATAAAAGTCACTGGAATGAATTCAGAAGGCAAACACATCACTTTGACTTTGTGGAGACAGAGTTAAGATTTGGAAAGAAGGAAAGATATAAATTCTCTTGATGAAATTAAGCTACATGAAGTCCCTGAACATGATGAAAGTAAATTTATTTACCCGAATGGAGCTCATGTTTATTGTCCTTTCTTCTGGGCTTTCCTTTAAAAAAACAAAAAACAAAACAAAAGAAAGGAAGTGGAGAGACATGGAGATGAAAATATTTAGTTAGCAAAAATCATTGGAAAATTAAGATGGCTCTTCACTGTCTGATTCATGTGCTAAGTTCTATTCCTACCATCACTCTTTGATTCCTTTTGAATCAACACCCACTATAACTCTCCTTATTTCTTTCTCCCTAGAAGCACAAATAAAGAGAAAATAAAATTATAGTGAATAAAGTAAGCACTATTTTGCTAATCTATGGCCTCATTTTTTTATCCTGTACTTAGCCACTGGGGTAGGGATGGAGGGTGTTAGAGAAGGCTTTTTCTGAGGAACGTGATCCTTGAATTATCCTTGAATTCAGTCTTTTATTGTTTTGGGGTTTTTTTGGCAGCTAGCCAGTACAGGGATCCGAACCCTTGACCTTGGTGTTGAACTGAGTCTTGAAGGATGAAGAGGAAGTTTGGTAAGCAGGCTGTATACATAGTAGATTCTATGAAACTCTAATTCTTCATAAAATCTCAGACCTAGGTGATCCTATCTATTCCCTGGCTTTAACTATCACCTACTGTATCTCACTGAATCTAAGGTCTATCAATTCTAAAAAACTACAATTTTTAATATCACTAAGAAAAAATTCTGCCCTTTAAACTATGCATAACACAATGCCTTTTTAACACCTAGAATTTTTATTTTATAATGATTAAAAGAATTGTTTTAGACGTAGGCAGATTTTTATCATACATCACTTTTAGAAACATAAGATGGTAGATATAAACAAAATAAATTGATGAAACTGTTTCTAAAACTTTACATTCAGAGTACAACTCTTTTGAATTACTTTTCTACTCAAGAAATGTGGTATGTCTATGTTTTTTCACACCACATCATCCTCTGTGCCACAGTGTTTGTGATGCAGCATTTCTTAAAAGAACTAAAAGCTAATGGTGTTGGGGTCCCAATTATGTAAAGCTAACCATTTTTGGCCCATGCTTCAGGAAAGTCCTTAACATGTAAGACTCACTGCCTCCCTCCTCTCTTCCCCCAAATCATTAGGTTTTTGAGGGTTAAAACAGTGCTCTGATATTGTCTCTAGATTTTTTTTCTCATGCTGCTGACATTCATTCTGCAAAGTCTAATTCTGGCAATCTGCAAATGACAACTATGTCATGATTGCTATCTGGCTGACAATGATCACAAGATGCATCCTGATCTCTGAGAAATTAGACAGTGAAAAAAAATATGTTTTTGGAATTAATGAAATATAGTACATGCTGATGAACTCCATATTATACTTATTTCCCTAGTTCCAACTTCTCTCCTGAGCACCAAGCCCCTATTCTAAACTGCCTTTTTACATTTCTTCTTGGATGTCTAGCAGGAATCTCAAACTTAAGTAGGTCAAAACAGAACTTGATTCTTAACTTGCCCTCCTCCCAAAACAAAATAACCTCTCTTGTTCTTTCATCAATATTCCTCTTATTTATAAATTGACCCACCATAAACTCAATTACTCAAGTCAAAAAACCCAAAAGTGCTTTTCTCATTCCCACTTCCAATCAAGCCATGATCAACAAGTCCTGTCTGTTCTACCTTTGCAATATATCCTCAAATCAATCTATTTCTATCCATCTCCACTGCCACCACTTGTATACAAATCACTATCAACATCTCTTGTCTAGACTCCAGCAACAGCCTCCCAGTTGGTGTCCCTGCTTTCACTTGGGTGTCCTCTCATAACCCCATCCTACACAAAAAAAGCCAAAGTGATCTTTATTAACATCAATTCAGACCGTATTACAACCCTGCTTAAAAATCTTTCACCTGTTTCCCATTGCACTCTTGAACAGACCTGTAGCATAGACAGTTCCTGCACCTCTCCAACTTTATTTCATTCTCCCCCTTGTTCCTTAAATGCTAATCCTCACTGGCTTTACTTATTTTCCTTGAATTCCTTGAGCCACTGTACTGTTCCCACTTCTGGGAATGCTTCCCCACCACCTATTTCCAAGCTGACTCATTCTCATCTTTTAGATGAAATTTCAGATCAAATGTCACCTCCTTAAAAAGGCCTTCCTAGGGCTGGCTGGTTAGCTCAGTTGGTTAGAGCGTGGTGTTATAACACCAAGGTCAAGGGTTCCAATCTCCTTACTGCTCAGCCACCAAAAAAAAAAAAGAAAAAAAGATGGCCTTCCTGACCACTCATCCCTTACAACTCCCCAGTCACTCTCTCACACTCCACCCTGTTTATTTCCTTTCTAGCATTTATCAAAATTTAAAATCATGTTTATTACTTGTTTATTGTTTGCCCTCAAAATGTAAACTCTATTTGGGCAGAGATGGTATCCATCTTTTTCAGCACTGTATTCCCAGTGTCAGGAGGAAAGGGGGCACCAAATAAATATTTGCTGAATGAATAAACAAATAAACAAACTAGTTATTAATTCAAAGGCAATTTATGATAAAACAGAGCTTCGGAATTTCCTGAAATGTAGGCTCTACACATATTCAAAATACTTTAACTTATCAAGTGAGCTGAGCTCTTTGATACTGAGAACTGACTGACAAAATTAAATTTTACTAAATTATCTCGAAAGAATCTGGCCAATTTGAAACATTGACAGTGTAATAATTCAGTAAAAGTAAAATTGCCAGAATTAAGTCATACTACCATGGTATCAGAGGTTATTTGTACCACCTCAAGAGTAAGATAACATAGATAGTGATTAGTGAGTTGGTGACAGGGGCCCAAAAGGCACTCTTTTAAAAGGAAGATTAACATATTAAAGCCTAGTATTTTCTAAACCATATAGAAACAACATCAATTACAAAAATGGAAGCGTCACATCTTGACAAACGTGCTCTATGCTGCTAGAATTTAACCTTCTAGAACCAACCTTCCTTAAACATTTTAAAAGCCATTTTCTGATTTAAAAGAAAATAACTCCTGATCCTTCAAAAAAAGATTGCTTACCTGTGTTCAAGTTGATAATATCTAGTATCTTAGAGACTGAGTCTTACAACTAAGTCTCTCTCTCTCTTCCTAGGAGAAAAAAAAGAACTGACTTATGAAAATCAGTTCTATTCTACCTATGATTCATTACATGCTTTTCCAACTAAGAACTGTAGAAGATGCAACTGAGTATGGAGAAATGGACACCCATTCACTGCTGGTGGGAATGTAAATTTGGTATAACTTCTACTGAAAGCAATTCGACAATACCAAACAAAATTTAAAAGATACACCCTTTGAAAGTAATTCCACTTTGAGTCATTTTATCCAACAGATACAACTGTATATGTGTGAAATGATGAATATGATTCAAAAATATTCATTAGAGTATAATTTAATAAAATTAGAAACAACTTAAATGCTCAATAATATGGGACTGCTTAACTTACTTTAGATCCATGCAATAGACACACAAAAAGAATGAGGCAGACATACAAAAAGAATGAGGCAACCCTTATGTACTAGTATAAAACAAAAGCCAAGACATTAAGTCAAAAAATCAAGAGGCAAAAATAGTCTGCATAGTGTTGAAAAAGATAATTTACCCAGAAATGTACAGTATGTCTCTGGAAGGATAGTCAAACTGCTAAGAGTGGTTGTTTCTGGAGAGGGGAACTAGTAACCAGGGAATATGGTTGGGAAGATTATTTTAAAAACCCACCAATCTGCATTCTGTCTCGGATTTACCTATTCTGCATATTTCACATAAATGGAATCATACAATAAATGATCTTTTGTGTCTGGCTTCTTTCATTTAGCATAATGCTTTTGAGGTTCATTTACATTGCAGCATGTATCAGTACTTCATTTCTTTTTATAGATGAAAAATATTCCATTCTATGAATATATCATAATTTGTTTATCCATTTATCAGGTGATGAACATTTGGGCTGTTTTCACCTTTTGGCTATTACAAATACTGCTGTTATCAACATGC